GTGCAAGAGCAGCGCTGCTTTGGTCCGTGTGGGAAGAAAGGAATACTAGGACTTTCCAAGAGAAGGAGAGAAACTTAGAAGAGATGAAGGACTGTGTTCTAAATAGGGTGATCTTATGGCTAAAATCACTGGACTTATTTCATCATTTCTCATTTAGTGATATTTGGAGGAATTGGTTAGCRGTGGCTAATTGTTCATCTAGAGAGACTAAAGTGAGTCTGACTTGGGAACCCCCTCCTGAGAATTTTTTGAAGCTGAACTTCGATGAAAGTAGTCTTGGTAATCCAGGTCTGTCAGGGGTAGTGAGGAATGAGGCTGGGAATGTGGTCCTTATCTGCTCGGGGCCCATAGGAGCTGGAAACTCCATTAGGGCGGAACTTGCAGCTGCTATCCAAGGAGTACAGCTAGCTATGCAGATAGGTGTGGATCATCTGATAATAGAAGGGAACTCCAAGGTGGTAGTGGGATGGCTACAAAACCTGGACTAGTGTGGTGTTTTAAGAATGAAATTAAAAAATTCAACTGCCTGACAAGGAGCTTGACAGTGAGAATACAATGGGTGGGGAGATCTGCAAACTCTATGGCTGATGGCCTTGCAAAGCAAGGGGTAAACAGGGAAAGTTTATATTGGGCTCAATTGTAGATTGAATCTGTTTCCTGTTTCCTGTTTCCTGTTTTCTGGTATCTGTTTTCTTTTGTCTTTCTTCCTGCTGTTAGGAGAGGACGCAGTTCGTGCCTCTCCATGGGAAGCCTGTAATTGCATTAATTCTCTATTAATGAATCTTATCTCTTTACTCATAAAATATATATATATATATAAAGGATGGGATTTTGCTTAAGTGGTCAACTTTTATTCTTGATTGAGAATTCCTTTTGGCAGGCTGTCAGAACAAGGTCCACTGTACTGAGAAGTTTCATGTTTAGGTTGTCCCAAGCATTTCCCTTTTAGTGTAGAGAGAGAGAGAGAGAACGAAATGCCAATATGCTGAAAATTTCCAAGCCCAATAGCATAAGCATGATAGAAAAAGTGGCTAATTAGAAATATGAAAATATTCTTTATAGAATAATATGGTTCTTGATAAAGTGGAATGGTGAAACAGGATTAAGATGGTTTACACTAAGCTCTACAATGCTACTAATATTGCTTGCAGTGAGCAGGGTTTCTTTCTTTTTCTTTTTTCTGTTTTTGGTATCTAGCTTCATTTCAAAATTGCTTCATGTTGTTCATCAGGGGGCAAGACATTTGTATATGAACCATCTACGTCCATTCCTCTTGAGGCATCAAGCTAGAGTTGACCATATGGTGGACCTTGCATATGGTGAAATTGTAAGATTTTTAATCATCTTTTTCTTTTTCAAATGAATTGGCAATAAGATTTGCACCTTTTTGGAAATGGTAAAGTACAATGCATTTTATACCAATAAAAAAAGGTGTAAATACTTAAATGAAAAAGTGTAGTTGTAGATACAATAGCCTATGCACACAAGAGACTATATATAAGACTCAAGGAAATCTGAARGGTAATTAAAAACACAAGATGTTAACTGTACTATCTATAAAAAAAGTTGTGATTTGAAAAGTTTGTTTCCCTGAATTCTTCAGCCTCATTCTTTTGCCGGGAACGAGGAGGGAGGGGGGTGTTGATCAACTTCCCCAGAAGAACTGTAGGGCCCTCTGGTAAAATTTTGGGCCACTTCCCTGGGTAAGTGTTTCCCTTCTCCCAGGTGGATAAATCACTTTTCCATGGAGGGAAACAGCTACCCAAATTGTTGTGGGAGTAAAATGTCCCTGCCAACCCACAAAACTCAAAACTGTTGATTTTGGCCCAAGGGTAAAAGTGGTAAAAGAGGAAAAACAACCAACTTACCTGAGAATTGAGAAAGTGGTTGATGCAAAAGAATATGGGTAAGGGAAATTGTCTCACTTACCCAGGTAAATTTTCTGACAAAAGAACATAGGTAAAATATTTATCAAAAAAATGTTCCTGGAAAAAGAATAAGGCCTTAATGATTTAAAAAGTATGTTCACAAAGCCAGAAACCATAATGGAGGAATAARTGGTGAGACATTTCCTCTACCTCTCCACACATTCAGCATGATGTATCCAGTATCTTTTTTGAAGGATAAACGGAAATTTCGTTAAACTGAAAAAGCAGTATATCTCAAAATGCTGTTTGTCTAGTTGACAAACCAACTTGAAAACAGAAATTACAAGAAATAATTTCTTGGAGAAGAACCACCTCTGGTTTGATACTTTGAAACATGTTCTTCACCAACTTCCTCCTCCTTCCATTCTTCATACTCCTTACCGTTCAACTAAGAATCCTCATTTTCCTCCCCCATTCCCTGTCTTCCCCCTCCCCCCAATTCACTCAATCTCATCCAGCTCCTCCTCTTCTCTTCCTTCCTCGTCCCATCCCTTTACTTTTTCTAAGTATTCTTCCATCTTCTTTTTCTCTTCTCTTTTCTTCTTTTCAAACTTCTCAAATGCTATTTTTGCAAAACCTTCCCCTCCCCAAAAAACTAGGCCTAGAGACTTTCCAACCTCCACCTCCCTTTCCAGTTTATTAATATTTACTTTCCCATTTTGAACTATTTCCTTGACTTTCTTGCTCTTTTTGTGTCTGTTCTGCTCTATCTGTCTCTGTTCCTATCCCCAATCTCTGAACCTTCTCCTTCTTCCCCTTGTTTCTTTTCTTCTGAACTTTGAGTAGTGTGCCTATAGGCCTTCTTTTTCTATTGTAAACCCTGCTTCGTACTCCACCCCTCCCTCCTCTTGAAGTCTTCCCTTTTCTGTTATTTTCTCTCCTATCTCTTCTATTCTTTTTCCTTCTTCTCCTTCCCCGTTGTTTGGAGTTTCCAGTGCCAGAATGCTCGACGAGCCAGACTGACTCACCTCCTCAAGTCTGTGCGAAGACACCAGGTTGCTTGGATCAGATCGCACAAATATTCTTTCTTTCCTTCCTTCTGTTGCCTCTACTATATTCTCTGAAGAGCTTAAAACTTGGTTGCCTCTACTATATTCTCGAGAGGTTTCTTCCTTATTGCTTTCTGTCTTCGAGTTAGAGTTGGAATCCCCTTCTTTCAGCCTGTTGGAACTATCTTTTTCGATTTTCTGGGCTTCTGCTTCTTTATTTCTCTCTGCATCCACAATCTTCTCTTCTATGTCAGTTCTCTGCAAATCTCCTGCTGTTGAGCTTATCACCATCCTTTTGTCTTCCTTGCCTCCTAGGATCTTAATCTTTCTTCCGTTCTCGTATTTGGTCACCACCCAAATCCATTTTCTTTTTTCTTCTTCCTTATCCCCTCTGCAGACTTGTTTCCTGGAACTCGAGCGACCGAAACTGGTTTTCTTCAAAAAGGAGATTGTTCTCCCGATCTCATAAATTGCTGTATTTTTAAGTATAAGTGCCCATATTACTGATTTATGGGCATATATAGAGCAAATAAGGGAAAATAGACTCATCAGAGAGGGTGCTGATGGGATAACATTGTGATTGATATGAAACTTGCTCTATTCTAGTATTCTTGGTAACTTGCACTATTCTAGTATTGTAGTATTCTTGGTAACTTTCCACACCTAGATTTGCACTTGGGAGATGCTTTGTTCTTCAGTTGATGATACCATCTGTTTTGTGCCTGTTTTAAAACCATTTTGTACATTTGTACCAACACTAAAATGGGCAAGGTCCTAGGGTGGTGCTTGTCATAACCTGTGACTCAGATATGTGTAAAGGTGCCTAACAAATAAGCAAATGTAATTGTCCACTGTGGATTACTGAAATATATACCAGGGGAAGGCTCCACATCCAATGGGCTCCGGAGAGAACTTGCTGGTAGAATTTAACTGTAACCTTTTCATACCTTTGTTTTCTACTCTGGTCCTGTGTCATTTAATGCTGGAAAGGGTGTTTAGTTTCCATTGCCGAATAATTTACCTAGAAGATATACTTTATGTGGCAAATTGAATAGCATATAGTTGCTTTCCATGGCTTATGCCTGAGGATTTTCACAATTTCCATTTTGCACTCCAATAATGGTGTCTGTGCAAATAGATCTAAACTGAGAATTGATGGATATTAGCTCACAGTTTTGACCAGAATCCTAATCTAAGTAGATGTGGGTCATGCATAAAGCCGTCCAATTGCAAACTCAAAGATGCCTGATAGGTTGTTGAACTTGTAGGTCAAATTCGTTATCACACACCATGCAGAAATCGAGTTTGCGAGAACATTGCTGATGAAGTTCCTTGCAGTAGGTATGGATCATTGTAGACTGATAGCTGCTGGGTTTTGGGACCAAAAACTACGTGGGTGGCTTACAATTGATGTTGTTTGTATCAGTGAACAAGATGAGGACGGACGTTGATACCATGAGGCCAGAAAGTGACGGCATGGATGTAGGCCCCAGAAGACAAATCGAAGGTCCACATTCAGATCATGATGACTGATGCCCCTTTTTATTGACAGGTGACATAGTTTCCTTCCTACCTGGGTTCAAGAAGCCACTTTGATACATTAATATGTGGATGTGAAGGTTCCCTGGGCTCATATAAGATATTATGTTGTGTTCTCTAATTTGTCAATCATTGCTTGTTATGTAAAGTTTAGGTTGTCTTGCTTTCATGTGGTTGTACAGGTTCAGTTGTAAGGTCCTCTGTGATTCACTCATTTTTTTTTTTTTTAATTGTAAAGTCTCTCCTTAAAAGGAAAATCCAAATTTAAGGTTATTACTTACCAGGCAAAAATTGAACCAGTAGTTCCTCTTATTGTTGGGCTAATCGCAATACTCCCCAACTCTCCATTGCAATTTGCAAATGTTTCATCTAACAATATTTCAGCTCAAAGGACAATCAGTAGACACTGTCATGGGCTATTTATATGATCATACCAGGATGTACCATTGCTTAGTATGATTACCCTGTTCGTGGTCTTGTATAGATAAAACGAAAAAGGCCAAAAACAATCCCAACTGAATAATCTATATTCTATAGGACTGAAAAAAAAACTCTATAGTTGTTAATTGAACGGGTCTTCGGTAGAATCATTGAGGTTTTGTTACAAGCCGAAGGTTGGGTGGGCCTGGTGCCTGGTGTTCTCGGCTCTGTGGCATAACCTTCTCCTCCCCTTAGTCTGTTGGGTGCCATTGTGGCAGGAGGCATCAACGGCAGCGGGAGGGCATGTTCTCGTCCCTTTTTTGGGATCCCGACTCAGGAGTAGCTTCTTTGGGATTGGGAAAATATATCCTCTTTTTTGAGTAGCGGTCATACTTCATTAATTTATTAAAATATAGGTAGTGAGTGGTGATTGGTTAAAATTTTAAAATGGAGCCCGGATCTCCTGAAAGCAAAACCGCAAGATGCTTGGATTTGGAATTAAGATTAACAATATACGGTTGCTTTATCATTGGCAAGTTCCATACTTCCATTCCATTTGGCTTACAAACTAGTAGGAGGTGGTGGTTAAAATCCGGTCGGTCTAATTTTCTAAATGCACTTCCCTCCCAGCATAATACGTTCTAACATGATCTCACACTAAACATCTCTATCATGTTGGTAGGGTGTTGAAACCTTTGGCAAGTGATCCTAAGTCTTAACTCTTTTCTTCTGATGGAGTAAGTTGGGTGTAGATTCGGGTTTCATGGCATTGAACAGGTTCAGGAAAATGCCGTCTAATGTAATGGCTGTCCAGTACAGCTAATTGGAAAACCAACTAAACACAGGAAGATGGAAGACTGAATAAAAGCCAAGTAGTCCACTTGGACAGAACTCTAATAAATAAAACAAAAGGAAAAGCTTTAAGCTTTATTAGCCATCTTCACATTTGACTTTCGACCAGAGACCAGAGTAGATGTTTGTTTATTTGTATATAGTAATCTGTCCACTCTACTTACCACGCATAGCTCACCATAATAATTATAAATAGCTTGTGCTCGGATTTGGCTTAGCGAAAAGAACAAATGATTCAGTGAGTAAACTCTCTCTCTCTCTCTGAATTTGTAATGGAGGCCTTCTTTGAGAACYGAGATTGAAACTCAGCCCAGCTCATTCTTTATTGAATATTATTACCGAATGCCCTCATTTAAAATGCTATTGGATGGATGGATCATCACTGCTCTCTATTAAAACTAAAAGCGATTCTCTTTCGTGGACAAAACATGCTTTCTCTACAACAAGGAGGAGCAGAGCAGATCAATATCAACAGACGAGAGCTGTGATTTTCGGTTCCCCATGCTAATAGCAAGGATTTATATATATATATATAATATAAAAGAAAAAGGCCAAGGCCCAGGGGCCCACTCCACTTCTTCAACTCTCTGATCACACTCTCAATTCACGTGCTTTGTGAAAGAAATCATACCCGTCCATGACTTCCTACATTCTCATCTGACGGTTGCAGTGCCTGCTCCAGTACGCACTTTACTCAATTGGATTCACATCTCTGCTTTTTCTTGACGTGTGCTTCCTTCCTCTGTAAGCTGTAATCTTCTCTCCCCACAGGCCACAGCGACGACTTCTCACAGTTCTCATCTATAGGGGGAGAGAGAGACAAATAGAGGGAGGGGGTGGGTGGGGTGTCTCTCGAGTCTCCAAACATTTTCTAGGGTTTCGAAATTGCAGTTGACTTTTGTTTTTCCCTTTTTAGTTTTCTCTGCGTATGATATAAAAAAGGAAGAGAGTTTCTTCTTGTGCTTCTTCTCTTCTCTCTGGAACCACAATTACGAAAGCATGTTGGGGCGTAGAGACGGGCCGTTGATGAGAAACAACGGACAGTCCCTTCGTGGATCGAGAATCGTCTTTGCCATTGCGGTCGGAATTCTTCTTGGTTGCGCCTTCGCCTTCTTGTTTCCTCATGGATTCTTCGGCTCCGATCCGCCAGCTCAAGGTCGTCGACTTCCAAGGACCAGTCTCCAGGTACCATTTTTTCTACCCTACAGACGAACTTCTTGATTCATTCATGTTTATTCTCTTTCTATGTTTTTCTGATGATGTTTCAATGCTTAAGATTTATTTTCCTGTGCAACATTGTTCGATCGTAAACTCTGAGAATTTGTTGGTTTCGTTGAGTTCAATTCCTGCTCTTTTTTTTTTAATTTTTAATTTTTATTTTTTGACTTTGCGTTTTGATTAGAGTTGTTGATTCATCTTGAACACAAAGCACATACTTGATACATTAGTTGTTGATGATTCGTATCTATATATCTCTGTCTAGAAGAATCTCCCTATGAATTGATGTACGTTGGGAGTATATTCTCGTTTGTTTGGATGGTTTAGATCCTAAATTTTGGAATTCCTCTGCCACTCCTGCTGAAAAATGGAAAAACGCTAGACTTCGGTTTTTGAACACAAACCTTAGTGTTGATTCATTGGGACTTGAAACTGAGAATTGCGTAGAAATTAGCTCTTATAACATGTGGCATGTGAAATTTAGAAAGAAAATTGCTACTACTACCTATGAGAAATTCTAACAATTAAGTTTAAATTGTTTTTTATGCCGCTTGGCATTCATGTTTCCTGCTGTTTTTGTGATGTGAAATTGGATTTTGTAGGCAGTTTTGCCAAACCATGGTTTCTATGATCATTTGCCCCTTGTTGTTAGGTTGGCTCATCCCCATGCGAATCACCTGAACGGATTAACATGTTGAAGTCGGAGCTTGTATCAGTGTCAGAAAAGAATGTGGAATTGAAGAAGCAGGTCAGGGAGCTAACTGAAAAGCTTCGGCTGGCTGAACAGGGGAAGGATCAGGCTCAGAAGCAATTTCTTGTTTTGGGAGAACAACATAAAGCTGGGCCTTTTGGCACTGTTAAAGGCTTAAGAACCAATCCAACCGTTGTTCCTGGCAACTCTGTGAACCCCAGGTTAGCAAAAATGCTTGAGAAAGTAGCTGTTCGGAAAGAGCTTATAGTTGCACTTGCAAATTCAAATGTGAAGGGGATGCTGGAGCTCTGGTTCACTAGCATCAAGAAAGTGGGCATACCCAATTATTTGGTGGTTGCTTTGGATGATGAGATTGAAAATTTTTGCAATTCAAATGTTGTCCCTGTGTACAAGAGAGACCCCGATGAAGGTATTGATTCCATTGCGAGGACAGGAGGTAACCATGCTGTCTCAGGCTTGAAGTTCCGGATCTTGAGAGAGTTCTTGCAGCTAGGTTACAGTGTTCTTCTTTCGGATGTTGATATCATATATTTGCAGAACCCATTTGATCATCTTTATCGGGATTCAGATGTGGAGTCTATGACTGATGGCCACAATAACATGACTGCTTATGGATATAATGATGTCTTTGATGAACCTGCCATGGGTTGGGCTCGATATGCACATACCATGCGAATATGGGTTTACAACTCTGGTTTCTTTTATATAAGACCCACAATTCCTTCAATTGAGCTTTTAGATCGTGTTGCTGATCGGCTTTCTCGGCAGCCGAATGCATGGGACCAGGCCGTCTTCAATGAGGAGCTGTTTTTCCCTTCACATCCTGGTTACGATGGGCTTCATGCTTCTAGGAGAACGATGGATTTTTATCTCTTTATGAACAGCAAAGTCCTCTTTAAGACCGTGAGGAAAGATGCTAAACTGAGCAAGTTAAAGCCAGTAATCATTCATGTGAATTATCACCCAGATAAGTTTCCAAGGATGAAGGCAATTGTGGATTACTATGTTAATGGCAATCAAGATGCACTGAAATCCTTCCCAGATGGTTCAGAGTGATAGCTTCTGTTTTTGTTCTTCGGACTTCTGAGTGATGCATCTTGTTCTTCGTCCTGCATACATGGTCCTCTACTTGCCACAATTCATGGGATTTTCCTGTACTCTAGAAGCACACAAGTAGGTCAGTTCAATTTCACATTTTGTGAGTTACATGAATTGGATGTTTCTATGTCCACCTAACTTTGATCACTACAGAAAATTTTGCTTTCTTTGTTATTACATTTGTGAGGGTGGGCCTTGACACAATGGTTGGGTTGCTCTATTGTGACTTGGGTGACCAGGGTTCAAATCATGGAAACAGCCTCCCTGTACATCTATTCCTTCCCAGACCCCACAATGGTGGGAGCTTCGTGCATTGGGCTGCCTTTTCTTTTGTTATAACATTTGTGACTCATATTTGAGCTTGCATCTCCTGCAAGCAAAAACTCAGTGGCTCTGCACACATAGCATCCAGCCGTGCATTGAGAATATCTCCTATGTTAAATTCATGGTGAGATGTTCCCAATGCACAGCCCCTTGCATCACTCCCCCACCCCCCCAAAAAAGAAAAACATTTTAACTAACCAACCTTTTGCATATATTTTCACTGTGATAACATTAGACCTTACACAAATATAATAGCCCTAAAAATCTTGGCCAATCTTGACTCTTGAGGGTACATCACCTTACCTGAATGCCGCTATATAGTGCCAATTTGGGAGGGCTTCCTTGCAGACGCTTCTAGGGTTACAAGGTAACCTCCACATGGAAAGCGATGAAGCCATATTTGGTGAAAAACTTGGAAAGCCCAAAAAAGGTCACATGAGAAAATGGACTTTTCAGTGAAACTATTTTTGATAATAACTTCTCGGAAGGACCTTTTTTACAAAAAAAATAATAATAATAAAGTTGGATGAATTTACAAAACATAGGATTTAAAACATATTGCAAAAACAGTGAGCGGGACATAGAGCAATTTTTTTGACCAAATTGACCCTTCTTAAAATAGACGAATCATCATTTTAAGTTAACCATGGAGCCGAAGTCTTGGTTTCACAAGCAACAAGCTAGTAGAGTTGGATGATCCTTGTCCAATATTGGAATTCTCGATGGGGAAAAAGAATCTTTGTCACATTCCAACCTGCAAAGCTATGTAAGCCTGTTTTGAGTGCCAGCCATGTTAGTAAAGCCTCTGGTATTCCCAGCCAAAGCCGCTTTCCAATTGTTAAGTGCTTTGTTCTGATCTACAGAAAGCACAAAATCATGACATTTAGCTGCATCATTTGATGGAGTCCCTTGGAGGAGCTCGAGTGGATCACCCATTGCCTCTAACCCATTTAATCATTTTACCTAGTTCCCTTCTCTGTAGGAACGAGTCTTACAGGGGTAATTGGAATCCAGGAGACCTGAATTTGCTTTTCTTTATCTCATGGAATTGAAACTCGAAGTCCTCCCTCATCGAAAGTCAAAATTTAATATTCTTTTGCTGCCTCTGCTACCCAGCTGATCTCAAACAAAACCAGTCCTGAAATCTTGTCTGCAAGCTTTGATTTTCTTCCCTCGAGTAAAATTTCTCAAACAAAACAATTTCTCCTTAAACCATTCTCAACTTCAAGTTCCATTATCCAAATAAATCTTGCCACAACTCCCAAAACAATTACCTATCAACATTCATGTAGCAGAACATAAACAACAAAAGTCGAGTATACTTATTTCATATTTTCTCAACAGAGCATAAAGAAACAAGAACAAAAAACAAATAAAGTACACTGTACACCCAATATCATTTTCTGTTGGAGAAATGAGAAAAAAGGCTCTGATTTCAAGGAATGAAGATGCCCATCATTGCTACAATACACAAGAAAGGTCCTTCCGAGAAGTTATGGATTTCGCTTCTAGGCCTGTGTATTTTTTGTGCATGGAAACCTGAAGAGGACCGAAAAATCACTGGGTTTCTTGTCTGAGCCTTATGTGATCGATAAAAGTCGCATTGCCCCCAATGGGACCTTTGAAATGCCACTGAAACACGTCACTAAAATCATGCTTCTTCTGTCATTGTGTATGCAAGGTACATTTGAAATGCTAGAAAACCGGATTTCAGTTTTAAGGGGGTGTTCTTTTTGCGGATTTTGAGAGGGGGAAAGTCCAAGAAATACATGTTCATTTTTCAGATTTATGTTGGGACAAGGGAAAGTTTATTTTCCTGGGTATCATTTACCCGGTTAAGTGATATAAGTGATACCCATCTCCTAGGTGGGTAAATAACTTTTTCGGTTGGGGGAAAAGTCACTAGCACTTGAATGGGACAAAAATGCCCCTTTTGATAATAAATTTTTATGGCTAAAATGGTTATTGACTTATTTACCTAGTAAATAAAAGAATATGGGTAAATGCACTTACCTGGTAAATATTTCCTAGGAAACACTTACCTGGGTAAGTACATTTACCTACCGAAAAACGAACAAGGGCCTAAGAGTAACTGAAATCACTGCATTCTATGTTGGCAGTGGAATTTGGCAGAAACCAGATTTTTTACAACACCTATAATTTGGACTCTACTCCCAAAAATCAGATTTTTCAATGCATTAGCAATATCGTTTTTGAGATTTATTTACAATAACTGTAACCGATGAATAGCCTCACAGACTTTACACAAGAAAAAGGAGGAAGAGGAAGAGGAAGAGGAAGAGGAAGAGGAAGAGGAAGAGGAAGAGGAAGAGGAGAGAGAGAGAAGAAAATGGCATATTTTGAAAATTTAATGAACGGTCAATGATACTTGTCTTTTTCATTTTATCTGGAATAGTTCAACAAGGTACGTCGTTTTAAAAAGTTTAGGGTATATATATATATAAGTAATTTCTCAAATGTTCAGGATATGGACTCTAAATCACTGTTTTCAAAACTGGACCAGACCGGATGGTTGGACYGGAAAAACTGGGAACTGGTCAGTAAACTGCTTTTTCCCTCAAAAACCGTTGATTTTGGTTAGTAAACCACTGAACCAACCGGTTAACTGTTCGAACCGTTTGAACCATTTGAACGGTTTTGACCATTTTGCAAATTTTTAAATTTTTTTGTTGGGTCAAACAGTTAGACTGTTCGAACCGGTAACCGGTTCCCTGACCGGTTTGGTCACTGGTTCGTTTTTAAAAACTATGCTCTAAATATGTAGAACCAACATTTTTCTCAGTATCACATATAAAGCAGCGTGCACGAGAGGTCCACTGACCATCTCAGCTGCTGGTGCTGGGTCATCGCCTCATCGGCAGTAGATGGAACCACTTGAACACTGCAAAAAGGGGCCAGGTGGCTCAACTGGTAAAAGTCGGTGGATTTTGTTCACGCTGATCTGGCCATCTGGGACAGGCCCTCCACCCTCAACAACGTTGCTCCCGAGTTTGCAATTTGCATGGTCGTAGGCCAAAAACTAATTTGCTTAAAAGCCCTAAACTGATGGTGGCTCAGTCGGTACTTCTGACTCGTCCCACAGACCCGGGATCAAAATTTCGCTGCCACCAAGGTTGGGGGGTGTTTTAAGGGATAGGGGATGGCTACCCAATGTTATATAGCCACATAAAATGCAATAAAAATCTTTCATTTTCATGATTTGTGTTCTGTTCAGCTTTCCCTTTGCCCTTACAGTAAACATTTTTTTTTTGGTAAAGAAGAGGAGATTGTATTACGAATGATCCTTGATGTGGCGTAATCCGGTTGTTCCCTGCCRTAAACGATTTGGTTGTCAGCAACGACAGGGACTAGGTAACCTGCAAGAGAAGAGTCAGAGATCCTGGGGTGGCTTACCYAGCGGGGACACTTTGATGGCTAAGTTAACACTCAGAGGTAGTAGTAGAGAGCTTGAAGATGATATCAGTGAGTTAGAGAACAAAGATTATGCATACACACACATTAAAAACATACCTTCGCCCCTGGGGGTGAAGTCTTTATATACTAGAGTCCTTGTGGGTTAGTGGAGCGGTTCCTAGATCCTCGCTGTAATGGGATCCGTTTGCGTGTTAGGCGGGTAAAACGCCACCAGCCGGTAAGGTTGCCCGCTCCCTTTGAATTGGGGAGTGGATGAGCTAATATAGCTGTTACAAGTCATAATCCTGTAAAATGCAGAGTACGGTGGTGAGCTCCTCGGGGTTGCCATGCAGGGGTCAGTCTGACTCGATAGCGAGCTGCCTGTGAAGTGCCGGGCTACCTGGTGGTGAGTTGCCCAGGGGAGAGCTGTCTGAGCTCGTGTCCTTCAGACTCGGCCTGCTCTGAATGTAGAAGTGCTTTAGTACTGATGATCTTGCACCGAGATAGGCTTGTCTCGAGGTGGATTCTTTCCGAGGTGGTCCATCTGCCCGGGTTTGTCCTGTAGCGGATTTGCTTTTCGTTTACCCTGGTCGCACTTGATACCGAGGTGATCTCAGTTCGGGATAGTTTCAGTTTGGGGTATCGGGGTACCCGAGGTCGCTTTGTAGCGAACTGATCATGCTGAATTGTCACTTGTCGAGTCACGCCCACATGCTGATCTGATCATGTTAAATTGTATCTTATGCCAAGTCATGCTCACGTGTCTCCCTACTACAAGGTCGRGCCAAATTCCCCTTCATCAATCCTCAATGAGGATGAAAYTCAAGGTATATCAGACTCCGATGCACTTAAAAGCCATGAAGGTCAGTTACAGAAAAAGTAGAAAGAGTTTTGCAAACCTTTCTTTGCAACGATATCTGCYACCCTGTTTGCCGACCTGGTAATGTGAGTGATGCACGCATCAAGTCTGGGTTCTTGATCAAGAAGTTAATAATGACTCTATTAGCCGACCTCACATTCTGATTCCAATTGTTGATTTGCTGAACAACCCCCGCAGCATCTAACTCCACCACAACACTGGTAGCTCCCCAACGTTTAACCCCAATAATTCCAAGCCTCGTAGCTCTGCTCTTTGCATCTTCAACTGAAAGACACTTGTCTTCTGTTCCACCACTTTTAAGAGGGAACCATTGGCATCTCTGATTACTACCCCAAGGCTTGCATTATTTGAAGAAGGAATAAAGGAAGCATCACAATTAATTTTATTACTGCCATGACGAGGAGGTGTCCAGGTACTGAGTGTTTGCCTTGACTCTATTGGAGGAAAAGAATGATTAATTTTTAGCTCTTGGGTTTCTCCAATAATGCAATGCTCCTTGAAAGAACGTGTCTAGGCTCCTGAGACATTGTTAGAAAGCAATTCATTACGGGCCAGCCAG